AAAAATAAAATTCTATATGATCAAGCCAAAGAGAAAAGAACTGAAAGTAATAGAATAAAATTTAACAGAAATAAAAATAGGTAATTGTTCAGAGTTCTTAGTATAGTTTTAATATTTATTTATTTATTTATTTATTTATTTATTTAATTTATTAAATTTAAATGTCATCCATCTCAATCTAACAACCAACTCTGGGTGGCTTTAGGAAACAACTATATACACAGTATATAAAGGAGATATTTGTACTCAGGATTGAAATGAGAGTCCCTTGATACTCTCTGAGCTTGGTTGTTTTCTTCCAGAAATTTCATTACCCAAACTAGGTAACATCATGACTGATATTACTTAGTTTGTATAATGAAACGTCTGCAAGAAAACAACCAAGCTCAGAGAACACCAAGGACCCCTAACTTCCTTCTGCCACTCAGTCCCTCCTGCTTCCTCCTCGTTTCCTTATTGTAATCTTACTTAAAAGTGAAGCTTACCCAAAGGTCCATGGAGGTTGGGGAGAAGCCAATTCCTTGCTCTAATCTTCCCCTGCCCCTTCCCTTGAGAAGGTACAATCACAAGAGAGGATGGAGCTTGGCTTTCAAAGAAGCTTCATTCAGATGCATATGAGGAGAGTTTACGTCTCTTCCCCCTTTTCAATGCTACATTAGTGGTAAACCATTGTTTGCCTCTTCTGGAAGCACAGGAGGAGGTTGGCCCACAAGAGAAGGGTGGCAAGGAAGGTGGCAAGTGTGAGCAAGAAGCACACTCACTCGGATTCATGGCCTGCTGGAATACTTGAGCAGAGCCACTGTTTTGGAGGAGGCTAATTGCTGCTCAAATCTGCTGGATATCGGATAGAAGAAAACATTTATAGCTCAGAATGGGCACTTTCTAACATAGCACAAAAGAGGTTTTTTGTAGCTAGTGAAAGTCTGCCCTATGCCTCTAAACCTACAAATCTGTCAAGTCTGTGAAAGATAAAAATCCAAACCACTGGCAAACTTATTGCTGATGTCTATTTCCCTTGCCTAATCCTTTTGGCCTAAGGAGAAAATTCAAGACCTCACCTCTGGGTGGTAATCTGGTAGTAGGCCTCTCGGTTGCCAATGTTCCGAACAAGCAGAGTTTTCTGTGTATTGTTCTTGACGGGAGATGTGGAGAAATTCAGTTGGTCTGGGAAATCCAAAATGCCTCGGGCACCAATTGCTCGGATAGGCACAATGAATTTTTCCCTCTCAGTAATGCAAGTTAATTCATGGAAATAATCCTGGGTGGAAAGAAGAATGTGAAAAATGAGAAATCCCTTCCATGACCTTTGCAGAGTAGTTCAAGGTCCTTGCAGATAGATAGTCCTCAACATATGAACACACTTGAGACCAGAATCTTGGTCGTTGGACTTGATGAATTTCTCAAAAGGAGAGGTGAAACATTTATAGAGCAAAAAGCAATGTATTAATTAATGTTATGGGAAAAAACGGTTTGCAAGGATAGGAAAGTATGGAGAATCTCCACAAACTCATGGAGAGTTGGAAATATCCAGCATGTCAGCTTTGGGAGCCATATTAACATCAGAAGCTTCCACGCTGCCACATTCTTGTGCTTGGGACATTAGCAAGGGGGATTTAGTAGAGGGAATGTAGTTAGATATAATAGCATTCTTCTTTTCAGTCAAGGTCATGGTATTTCTGCACCTGGAGGAGGAGTGGTTGAAGGGATGTCTAGAACTAGGACAGATGGGAATTGGACTATGTGATGGACTGATGGGTTCAGGGGATGAGTTTGGACTTTTGACTTACTGAGGGAAAACCTGAAACTCTCAGATTCAGATTTTCCCAGATGTGCCAGTATACCTGCTCTAATAAAATGGAACTTTGAGAAAAAGTCTGTCTTGGAGTTTTTCTTGGAGTTGGGTTTATCTGGAATGCTGACATTAACCCAAATCCCTATGTTAAAAAACAGCAACCCGAAAGGGGGTTATCCGGCATGCTAAGCCCCTGCACCAACCAAAACAAAGATTGAGGAGATCACAGAAGGAGCTGTGGGAACAGATACCGGAGAATTCATTGAGACCCGGTATTCTCCTTCTGCAGACGTGGTGAGAACCCTTGAATCTGCAGAGATGACACGAAGGCTAGGTGCTTGGCCCAAGGAAACGGATTCCTGGAAAAGTCAGACAAGTGCTGAAAAAACTTTTAGCTGCCCAACTCTACGTGAAGTTGTGAAAATGTGAATTCCATAATGAATCTTTGGACTATCTTGGCTACCAAGTGTCTAATCAAGGTATCGAAATGGATCCTGGAAAGGTGAAGGCTGTG